ATGGCAGCTTGTGGTGTGTCCTCTTCCACGCCACTCCAACTACTAAATAGTCACTGATTCTTTAAAAAAAAAAAAAAAAAAAAATCTGTGTCTTGCTTTCTCAGCAGCTCTCAGATACCTTGCAAAACCATGATGGGAGGCCATGGGAGGAAGTTGTGGTCCAGTGTTGCAAGGGTTTCATAGGTGGTGTGTCCCCTCACCCTCACCCTGCAGTGTAAGCGAGCTCTGTAGAAATGGTCTGAACTAGTATCTCACTGCAGAGGGAAACTTTAAAACTCACCCTGAGCCTTTTAGAAGGACTTTGTGGAGTGGTGTGGTTGCAGGGTTCTGCTGTATGTAGCAGAATACATACAAGTACTTGGGTATGAGTAGAATAGTAGTGAGGTAGATCGAAGCAGGACTCCAACAAAGAATATCCACTGTTCACACTGAATAAAGCTGCTTACTTTCATGCTTTTGGTGCAAACTGAGGAAAAATAAATGTGGGGAAAATAGCAACTGGGGTTAGATCCAGGCTTTGCTGTGAAGCTATACTTAAATGAAGGCAAGTTGGGTGCTGTAAGGCTGACAGTAAGTAGGGCAGTCAATGACTGGCACATTGCAGTGTGCAGGTGTACATATCCTGCCAGCAGGAACACAGATCTTAAGCACTAGACTGGGTACGCCCACTCCAAAACAAACTGGAAGCATGTCCCTAAGTGGTGGTTTTTAGAGGCCCTGTGGTTTCCCTGAGGACTACTCAGGGCATCTCTGTTCTTGCCTCATCATCTCTCCTGGCCCCTTGGGAACAGGACTAAGTTACCAGTGATCCTTCCGATGCAAAACCAGTATTGTTAGCTGACTTATACTGGCCTCAAATTACACTTGGTTTTAGGTTTCCAACTTAAAAAATGCAATGGAGTTCCTCAATAAATAGTGACATCAACATCTGTTTGTGTTTTGATATAAAGACTTTGAGAGACAATTACTATATATGCATATATGTCTAAAAAAAAGTTGTAAATACATGTACGTGCACATTATTTTCATAGGAAAATGGATTCATTAGTTTCCATAATCAGGGTGCACAAATGCAGTAAAAAGATTTTATTATTACCTAACCTGTCTTTTTTTTCTGCTTCCTCTTCAGTCTCTGGGACTTAAGTGTTGTTTGTGTTCTACTGTTGATAGTAGAGCTTTGAGATAGTAGAGCACGTGATGAGGAACAGAATAAACAAGTTCACACTGTACTTGCAGATTCTGGGAAGTTGTCACAGCTTTAAAAAGTGCCAGATAAACACCTGCAGAAAGAGTGCTTTGATACCTGAAGCAGCACTGAAATCACATCTTCACCCCTGGGATAGCAATAACTAAGGGTAAATACTCATCATGAATAATTTTGTGTCTGCTTTTGTTCAGCCTGCCTCTTCTTTAGGAACAGTAAAACACATTTGTAAGTTATATTTTAACTTGGATTTTCTTGGCAGGAGTATTTTCAACTCCTCCATGTGTCCTAATGTAATTCACAAAGTGTTCTTAATAAAGTTTTGTACCAGCACAGGGTGGGGGGGTGGGGAGAATGGGGGTGTGGATCAGGGGTGAAAATGAGAAGAGGGTACAGGAGTTGTTTACATCAAGGAGGTTGCCTAAAAAAAAGTTTGTATAATGAGACAGGAGAGTTATAAAGGGGGTTAGACAGAAGGGTCTAATACTTAAAGTGACCTAAAGCCCAGTTTTCACATCCTTATCACTCAATGAAATCACACATTTCTTTTAGTTCCTAATTTTTGCTCTCATTGGCCAATGACTACTAGTTACACAGTGTATTTCTGATCTCCTCAGGCAGTGCCAAGTCAGAGATCTAGCACCAGAGCACCTACAGGATGGATGGCTCTAGAAGCCTAGAAGTGTCCAGCCCACAGAATCATTAGGGTTGGAAGTGATCTCTGGAGATCATGCAGTCCAATCCCCCTTCCAAGGCACGGTCAGCTTCAGCAAGTTACACAGAAACCTATTCAAATGGGTTTTAAATGTCTTCACAGAGGAAGACTCCAGGGCAGCCTGTTCCAGTGTTCTGCCACCCTCAATGGAAAGAAATTCTTCCTCGTGTAGTGGTGCAACTTCTTTTGTTTTAGTTTATAACCATTGATCCTCCTGCTGTCTCTGGGCACCACTGAAAGAGTCTGGCGCCATCCTATTGGCACCCACCTTTGAGATATTTATATGTGTTAATGTGATTCCCCTCTCAGTCTAAAGAGACTAAACAGACCAAACAGGCCCAGCTCCTGCAGTCTCTCCTTGTAAGAGAGATGCTCCAGACCTCAGATCATCCTTGGTCATCCCTCTGCTGGACCCTCTCCAGTAGCTCCTTGTCTCTTTTACTGAGGAGCCCAGAACTGGGCACAGCACGCCAGACACAGCCTCACCAGGGCCAAGTAGAGGTGCAACTCCTTCAACCTTCTGGCTGTGCTCTTCCCAGTGCACCCTTGGCCCTCCTGGCCACAAGAACACTGCCAGCTCATGGACAACTTGTGATCCACCAAGAGTTCCAGATCCTTCTGCACAGAGCAGCTCTGTAGCAGCAACCCCTGACCTGTGCTGGCACTTGGGGCTGTTCCTCCCCAGGTGCAGGACCTGACACCTGCCCTTGTTGAATCATTAAGTTTCTCTCTGCCCAACTCTCCAGCCTATCCAGGACCCATGGAATGGCAGCAGAACCTTCAGGTGGATCAGCCACTCCCTCAGTTTAGTGCCATCAGCCAACTTGCTGGGGGTACATTCTATCCCTTCATGGGGTCATTGATAAACAGGTGGAACAAGAATGGTCCCATTATTGATCCCAGAGAATGCCACTGGCTGTTGGTCTCCAGGTGGATTCTGCTGTGCTGATCACAACCCTCTGAGCTCTGCCCTTCAGCCAGTTCCTGATCCACCTCACTGTCCATTCCTCTAACCCACATTTCCTGAGCTTTCCTGTGAGATGTTATAGGCGACAGTGTCAAAAGTCTTGCTGAAGTCAAGGCAGACAACATCCACTGCTCTCCCCTTACTGACCCATCCTGCCATGCCACCACAGAAGTTTATTAGATCGGTCAAGCATGAGTTTCCCTTGGAGAATCCATGGTGACTACTCCCAAGTTGTCCTCTACATGCCTGGGCACGACCTCCAGAATGAGCTGTTCCATTCCCTTTTCAGGTACAGAGCTGAGGCTGACATGACTTATCTTCCCAGCTCCTCCTTATCCTTTTTGGAGATGTCAGTAATGTTGACTTCCCTCCAGTCATCATGCACCTCTCCTGCTCCCCATGATTTTGCACAGATAATGGAGGTTGGCTTAGCAGCATCTGCCAGCTCCTTGGGCACTCATGGATGCATCCCATCAGAGCCCATGGATTTATGGGTGTTAAGTCTCTCTAGCTCATCTCTAACCCAACCCTCCATTACCAGGGCAAAGTCTTCCTTTCTTCAGCCTTCCTCTCTTGCCTCCAGGGTCTGGGACTCCTGAGGGCTGGCCTCACCAATAAAGACTGAGACAAAGAAGGCATTCAGTAATTCTGACTTCTCTGTGTCTTCTGGCACCAGAACACCAGGATTCAGCAGTGGCTCCACATTTTCCCTAATCTTCCTTTTGCTGCTGATGTACTTGTCGAAGCCCTTTCAGTTGTCCTCATCCAATTCAATGCAAAGTGGGCCTTGGTCTTCCTTATCTCATCCCTGCATACTCTGATGATATTCCTATAGCACTCCCACAAGGCCTGGCTCTTTTTTCACATCCCAGAAATTTCTTTTCTAGAAACTCTCTGCTCAGCCATGCAGATCTACTGTCCCCTTTGCCTGATTTCCTGCTCATAGGGCTGTGAGGTCTTGAGCTTGGAAGAAGTGATGTTTGAATATTGACCAGCTCTCTTGGACCTCCTTATCTACTAGAGCCTTATGACATGGGATTCTTATGAGTAGGTCTTTGGAGAGGCCAAAGCTTGCTCTGAGGAAGGTCATGCAGGATCCTGACTCCCTAAGACAAAGGGCTAAAGTGTATGTCTCAAACAGCAATAACCAGACAGCTGTGGAGCCAACCAAGGATTGTTGATAATAACAACCAGTGATTGTTAGTAACGTACACTGTGAGAAAAAACAGGGTGTGGCTGGAGAAGGTGGCCATACAGAATTAGGGCAGTACTTTTCCAGGACAAACATCCTTGTTGTAACTCTTGGAGATAAGGACAACACAATGCAAGCATAGGAATGAGACTGAGAAGTGGGCATGCATAGATTATAGGGAGGGATCAAGACAACCCAAGATGGCTCTGACCCATTTCCTGAAAGGCTGAAAAGAACAGACTGTGCATCATAACTAATTTGTATAGAAAATGAGAAAGTTATCTTCATGGCAGGGAAAAACAGGTATCCTCACAAAGCCCAGGCACATATGCCCCCCCCGTCCCTGGACTCCACATCAGCTGGAGTCAAGACTCTGTGTCTCCCCTGCCTTCCCCCTCCTCTTTAATTCATATCTCTCCCTGTCTCTCTCTCTCCCTCCTGCTTTCTCCCCTTTTGCCCTACCTCTTTATTCAAAACCCCCTACCTCTTTATTCAAACCCCCCTACCTCTTTATTCAAACCCCACTGCTGTGTGCTTATTCTAGGAGATTAGGGGCTAACTTGTATTAATTCTCACGCCAAGTGTGGAATTTACTAAAAGTTTTGTAAGCTTCTGCAGACTGTATGACTTGTGTTGTTCCCTTTGACCGCAAGCATAGCACAAGCATCTACAAAAGCATCCACAAAACCTGGAAAAACCAAAAGCATCTACAAAATTTGTGTGTTCCCTTCCACTTAAAGACAGGACAACACAGTGACTAAGGAATTGCAATATAATGTGTAAAAGGGCAAGCTTCAATCTGAAATAAGAACATTTCAAAGTAAGAGAAAATGGAGGTATAACAGTGTTTGTGTATCCTCTTACATAGGACAGTGGATCAGAGGGCGATGCAGAGGACAGTGGATCAACAGAACAGGCATGATTTGAGTCTCACATCCATAGCAATGATTTATTGTAATTTGTGCTTTGAAAGGTGTGTGTATACAACAGATGATATTTCCTGTTCTCATGAGAAATCAAATACCCTGGCAATGCTGCAGCCTTTTCATCTCTATTAATTACCCAAAATATATACAATTTTCAGCTTAAAAATACTGTTTCAGACAGCATGAGATTTCTGCTCTTCTTAGGGCTGTCAAGATAAAAAACATCTGCAAGAAAACCTGACAAAAAATCCAGATAATGGCATTGCCAATATTGATGTGGAAATCCTGTCGCAAACAATGCTGTCCATGCAATGTCAAATGTAAAGCTTCGGATCAAATGGGGATACCGTTCCTTTTGTTAACATTGTATAATACTATATAAAGTAAGTAGTTGCTGTTTGTCATGACTGTCTCTATACTTGACCTGCCTAAATCAGAATTAAAGGATTTCTACATTTGCCTGCAAGGAGAAACAAAATCTCACTATTTTTCCTCTTTTTGTAAATTGGGACTTTCACTGAGATTGGTGGTAAATGCTAGAATCCACCGTTTTGAAAGGTAAAGCTTTTCTTGGAAACTGAAAATGGACAAGCAATATTTGATGTGGAAAGACTTTAGCTGCTCTTCTGGTGTTTCTGAACACAATCAAGGTATTCTTGCACATCATCTGGAGAGCCAAGTATGAGAGGAACTCTCTGGTGAATATTCTCAGGTTTCACATCCAACACTGCTTTGGTCCCTGTAGTTGCCATTCCACCTGCCTGCTCAATGATGAAAGCCATAGGGTTGCATTCATAGAGAAGTCGGAGCTAGAAAGAAAGAAGAAACACATGATTGTCTTAGGGGGAAATTATATCAAAGGACTTCCCAAAACTTAGCATTCCTTTTGTGATTTTAGGAAATTTTGTACCGAACTTCAATTTACCTGAGTAGCAATGTCACTCAGAGAGTCCCCCCTTCCTTCTCACCTTCGCTAAAGCTTTTTGTTTGGAGGAACAGTGCACTCACTGACCTTACACCCAGGCATCACCACTATCATTTCCAAGCTGACATACAGATATGCAGCACCAGCAAAGCTGTATTTTGTCAAAAATGTCAAAAGTGGGTGTCCCACAAACATCAGCAAAACAGTTAAGCCAGTTAAGCTAACAGTTCTGGGAAAGAAAAGCCAAAATATCTTCTCATATGGAGCCTTTATGTGTTAACTCAGAGCTTGGGATAATCATGTTATGTTTAGTCAGGATGTTTTGGAGTTTGAAACTTGATGCTCCCAGTCTCATATTTCAGGATTTTATTGCTTCTCTTCAGAAATGTATATAGATATTAGTGGCCTGAACTTATCCAACTTATCCTTAGCTTCAGAAGGAGCTGCAGTTATTTATTAGAGGCAAAATTTCCTTTTTGGTTTGGACCCTGTTTACATTTTTTAAATGTTACCTTTTGAGGTGAGTGTGTTCTGGTGGAGTGCGAGCTTATTTAGGATATATGCCAAAAGTTCCTGTGTTTAAATGAACATCGATGATAGCTGGTCAGTTCTGAACAAACATTATTTCTGTAGGTTTATCTATGAAGTGCTCATGTACAACAATATTAACACATATTTTGTTTGAAGGACTCCAGAAGAGGGAATGTTTTCTGGGAAAAATGAAGTGTGACAGAATGCTACAGTGTATAGAGACAGAGAAATGGGTTGAACACAGGACTTCACTACCCGTCGTGCCTTTAGCACACTGCAATAAAACGATGATATACCACAACTTAAATAGCACTATATTACCTTCTTTCTTATCTTTAAAGCCCAGTGAAGTGCTACTTCTGGTACAAGGACTCCATCTCTGAGGCAACATAGGATCATTATATTTCACTCTTCCTCCTATTGCTTGGCCCAGTTCTGGAAGATCATGAGCCAGCAAACAGCAGTGGTATCACCATGGAACCACGTTTCAAGTTTCATGTTGCTTAGCTGTGACTATGCTTTGAGGAAAGCAGTTTTTCTTCAGGTAGCAGTGCAATTGTGCTTAAAGATCTACAGGTGGGCTCTGTCTTCAGATAGGTTTAACATTTTCACCTAATAGAAAACTATAAGCCTTAAGTTTATGAAAAATATTATTCAAAATACATTATTTGAAGATTTATTGGTAGTCTTGTACTGTAGTGTTTATTGAGCATTTAATTTTCTTTCTTTAACTTAAGGAAGGATCTGCAAATTTTAGGGCCTACATCCATGTCATTTGCATTTACTCTAGAGACTTTTGATCAATTAGTAACATTTGATTATTTTCTGCTCTCTAACAAAGTGCATAGACTGTCTTTCAGGGTACTTGCCACAAGAGTATAATTTCTCCAATAAGAAAGGATATATGTGAAAAGAACTATATACTCTTGTACTCTGAGATGGAAAGAAAACTTACTTGTAATGATAGCATATTTTATTTCTTCCATTACTCTCTTTACTATGGCAGTTCAAGCCACAGCAATCCAATAATAAATGTGGGTTAACTCCTGTGGAAACCTTTATTTTGTAAAGTTATGTAAGTACTTTGTTCCTTTGTTCTTTTGTCCTGTTTCTCATTCTCTCTTTTCAACAGTGGTTTAGTACAGATTTCAAAACAAAAAGTTTAATTGGAAGAGGCCAGTCAGCAAACCCACTTTTTTCACACACAGCAAATTCCTTTTTTTTCTCTTCCCTTATATACAAACAGATCCACATAATTTGCTGAGGACTTTTTGGGGTGGTGTTTTGGGAGCTGTTGGTTTTTTTTTTTTCGCCATGGGATGCTGATTCAAAAATTTAAATCATTTTTGCCTGGACAAACATGCAGACATTTTTGGTTGTATATGTTGAAGATAATTATTTTCCTATTTTTGTTTTGAAGACCATTTGGATCTGCTGGTATTTTGGTAAATATAAGCTTACTATGATGGAACCAGTAGTCCTCTCTCCCTAAAGACTGTAGACATTAGGATATTTTGAGACCAGTATGGAAGATGGGGCAGATTCCTCCATGTACCAGCCATGTATGCAAAAACATTTGAATAGAAGGTTTTAAGTATGGTGTAGATCAGGAAAGAATGTATTCTTGGAGTCAGAACACCATGCTCAACCTGAGCAGGACTGAGGTACTGAGCCAATGATTTCCTAAGGATTTCTGCAGGTTACTGTTGATCCACAGATCAGCTGTACGACTAGGTCTCTTAAAACATATTTCTTTAAAAAGTTGATAATAAGGGTATCTGATGCTGCAGGAGAGAAGTTGAGGTTGACAATGGCCCGTGGCCCGTTGGTTTCAAAGACTGACTGCATTGCATTGCACTGCATTGTCATGGTGCATTTTGTACTGGTGTCCAATAGGGAAGTCATACTTTCCTAAAATATTGTATGAGAAACATACATTCCACTGTAATCACCTTTTCTGATCAGGTAGTTGAAGCCTGAGTTTGCAGAGCTGGTGATATAAGATCAGTGTCCTTTGGAAACATAAGGTAGGAAAACCCTTTTTTCTAGTATTGGACAAAACCCTTTCTGGGGCTCAGCGTATCCCACCAGCTGATGGGATAACTCTAGTTGCCAGTTTAAAGTCGAGAGGTTTTCCTTAGATCCGTGGTGTATCTGCAAGCTATGCACAGGTGTCTCAATGGGTTTCAATGGTACTGAAGTATTTAGAAGAATTATTAAGTCCTTGGTTGCAGTGAAAATCACTTGAGTATCTCGTAATATAAAAGCACAGAGGGAGATTTCTGGCCTAAATCAGCAATTGCCTAAATTTCTTTCCTAAATTCGATTTCTGTCTGTCATTTCGTTAGTAATTTTTTTCCACAGTGGAACATTATTGTTTGTTTATTTATCTAAACTACTTCTGTGGTAATACCAGAGGTATTAGTTTGGCTAAGTTCACCAGAAAATAATTCAGATTATATACCTTTCCTTTAGGACTCTTCTGGTTAGCAGGATACATGAAGATCCCACCATACATCAGTGTACGGTGAACATCAGCTACCATGGAGCCCACATACCTGGCACCGTATGGGGAGCTGCCATCCTGAAAAACATAGAGTAAAGCACTATATTTACCAGGCTAGACAACTAGTAGTGTGGCAAAGTGTAATTCTGCTATGAAACTGGAATCAAAGCTGCTTAAATCAATGGCTGTTTATGGATACTGCAAATACCAAAACCAGTCCTAAGTTCAGCCTTTTGTAAGATGTGATCATCTACAGGGTTTTAAGATAAGAGATTTAAAAAGCTGCAGACACAGTATGTAAACCAGAGTGCCTGTAATTTGAGGGCACCATTTGGAATCAAACCCCAGCCTGTGAAAAAACAAGGGACTGAAAACTTCTTCACCTTATCAGAACAAGATCAGAATAATTTGATTTTCGATCTTTCACTGTTTCCTAAGCCAGAGCATGAGGAGGGGTGTCATTCATGTTCAGATGGTTCCAAGAGAACTCAAACTTTTACCTTCTAGCTCCTTTGTCAAGTGGTGAAATTGTTCATAGAATTCATTCTGCAGCTTGGTTTGGGAGATTACCATTTATTCATTAATGTAATTTTCCTTGCTCTCAGCTTAGAAATTGATTTTGTTGAAGGACAGGCCATTTTAGCAAGAGCAATCAAGAAAGTATTCATGTCAGTCGCAGGTCTGCTGGTGACAGAAATGGTTAGGTAGGAAACACAGAAGACAAGCAAGGTGTCTTGAACAAATAGAAGTACGTACGGTAGACCAAATAAGCTCCACTCAAGAAATATGACATGTCATCATACTTTTATGAAGAGGAGATACAAAAGACAGATGTAAATTTAGGGAAAGCTTTTTAAGAGAAGAATTTTGCTGGTCTTTTCATATCTCTCAATCTGTCTTCAATAAAGCTGAGGAGGAATTTTCATCTTCCCAGAACATTACTATAGACTGAACTTCAAGTACATTTAATACACATATATGTTTTGTATTACAGTGCTAAAAGTCTGAAAACATCTCAGCATGTTTTTTTCTGTCTGGGTCAGTTTTCTAATAAAAGATCTTAGCACTTTCTACAAAGCTCATCTTGTACTGATAGCTAGATCTAGAAAAGTACATAGAGAACTTGTTCAGCAATGCCAGTTCGAAAACCTTCAGACACCACAAGTTAGTTACCTTTCCCAGCAATGAAAGGCCTGGGAAAAAAAATCCACGCTTGGAAGGAAAATAGAGAAAAACATAATTCTATTTTGAGATCACTTTATCAAATTGTTCAATGTGACTGTGAAGTTTTGACAATTACTGTCTTTTAAAATGGAAAAAAATTCTCATGAAATTGCATATTGTAAAGCAACACAGCACTAGGAAGTTAAGTCCTATGCTGCTAAAGATAAGACTTGGATTTTTTATATAGCTGATAATAAAACAGGAAAAGAGAACCATTCCAGGCTATGTAATAACCCTTGTTCAACTGTACACATGTTGGTTTTCATGATTCATGTTGTACACATTAGGAAAACTATGAAAAATTCAGAAGAAAACAATGCAAACTATGAAAGACTGATGGATAAGACACAGTCTAGAGCTTTTACATTTAGTTTTGTTTAAATCTGGTGCTATTAATTGTAGGCACAGGTGAACAAAACTTTTAAGTATTTGTTCCCTTGTTTTTCATGGCTTATGCTCAAATAATTGCATATTTAGGCTTCAAATGATGGCTTCTCCATCTCACAGCTGTTTGTACTTGTGACTTTGCAATTGTAAAAATCTGACAATAGGAAAAACCAACAGGAACACCTTAAGAGGTATTAAAAGGAGACAAGTGAGAATTTTCAGTTAAAATCTGGGAAAGATGTGATTATAGTCTCAAATTAACTTTAAAAATACAATCAAAAGAAGAGCTTTCTTTTGTGGTTTTAAAAGGTAATGAACTGAGTCCTACGAGCAGTTTGTTGAATACTAAGAAAAGCCATAACATATTAGCAAGCAGCCCCTGAACCAGACTGCTTAGGATTGCTTCTATGACATTATCAAATAAGGACTCTGTAAATCACAGGTAAAAAGTTTAATGCACAGCTGAGCCACCTGTGTACACATCATCTGACAGTTTTGGAATGTGCTAGATTTCCTATTTATATGCAGATTATTTACATAATTTGTGTGTACATGGACAGTGTTATGAGGTTCCCTTCTAACTCAGGATATTCTAAGCTCATGAGATGCCACTGACAGTTGTAGTTGCTTCTTAGCCAGACAGATATTCACCAGCTAGAGACATAATGCTGAGAGTGTGCTGAGAAAAATACAGAAGATAAATTCCTCCATTCTAATAAGGTTATCACTTGAACCACATACTGAAATAAAATTTTTACTTCCCTTAGCATACAGCTGCCTACATGGGAAGAATAAATACTACTTTTAGTTAGTGAAATGTTATTTCTTGTTTCTCCAGTTTTGCTGCTTACACATATTTTTTTAACATATGAGAAAGTTAATAGGTGTCACATGTGTGTTGGCATATTGCCCAGGCATTCTTCTCACACAAAATAATAGAGCATGAATGCTAGACCGGTTCATCCCCAGTCCTCAGCAATGCCAAGCTCTGTGCTTGCTCAATAAGCACTTCTGATTATTTAGTTGATGCCAGTGAAAGAACCTTCATGTTCCCTTGGTCAGCATCCATGGTGTTTGAGTAAACTTGTGGCTACTCTTCATTTCACCCCTTCTGCTGCTTTTTCTTTTGCTTAACACAAATGAACAAATATCATTCATAACAGATAGGTCCTGTGATATTTTTTCTTCATGTTCTGATAGAAGTCAATTTTTTTCATTTCTGTCTTCTACTGATTTCTGACAGCTCTGCTCTTCCACAGCAGAACAAGACCAGGTTTTTCTTATATAAATATGATAAGTAGGAGAGGGGGGGCAAGAATTTTTTTTTGCAAACTATAACAAAGTCTTACTGCATCCCTTACTCCACATACAGATGTGGTGACAAAAGAATAGTGGTTTTACTAGCTTTTTTGTATCATTCAGACGCAGCTTGGCTAGTTGACAGAAGAATGCTTCATACTGAAATGTGCTACTGGGGGTAAGTTTTTAATGGCATTGCTGGAATAAATCCTTAACCAACGAGTCTCAGTTGCATAGCTGTCATCATCCACAAGCTGTGATGAGACTCAACTTCTCTTGTCTCTGACTGTAGGAAGCAAAGATAAAAGTGTCCTAGCAAAGTGTGACAAAGTCCACGGGGAGTTTCAAATTCTACCATGGGTCAACCAGTGCCAGAAAGAAGGTAGGGCCTTGTGGCTACTAGGAAGGACCCATTCTGGGGAGAAGTTGTTGTAAAATTTGTGCAGAGACAGTTTCTGGCCCAGCAGTGCCCACTAAGCATTGCAGACTGGAGCAAACATGTTGCATTACAGGCAATTTTGTGAACAGAAACTTGTTCTTCAAACTGGTTAAGAAGCAGTGTGATTTTGTCATGCTTAGTAAAAAATTAGCTTCACTCTCATACCAGAAGAGATGTGGTTAGACATATGTTTCCCACTGCATCGTAGTAGTAGAAGGCTTAGGTCTGGCCTACAGAACATCAGCATCGTTCTAGTGCTTTTTATTCAGAATTGATGCCTTAGGTATATGGGGATCCACAAGAAATTTTGAGGGTCAATGGGGCTTTGTAGTCCAGGCTCTCTGAGCTGGGACACAGCTGTTAGATAGTAAGAGGAAACCTCTCTTCTACTCATAAATGGTTGATTTTTAGTGTTTTGTTGCTAATGACAATGATATAGAACATAGGACGTGTTGTGGAAAACTTTCTACTTTTGTTTCCATTTTATTTTTAACTTTTCAGTTTTTAGTGGCAATGTCAGAGAGTCATCTGAACAGCATGTTGACCGAGAAGCACAGGAAGGAGTTAATAGAGGTAAGATCTAAGGAAGAAAAATGAAAAAAAGTGACAAATAGCTAAAACTGGTGCTGGGTCTCCTGTCTTTTAGCAGCCAGAAGAGTATAGGGTGAGTAATCTGCCCGAATAAGAAGGTGTTTCCATGCCAAGGAATGTCAGTTCCTCCTCAAGTCAGAGGCAGGGGATATCCAGCAGACACCCTCACTACCCTTCTGCATGCTGGAGAGAATGGGACAAAGACCAAAACTGTGAAAATCTCAACCTGGCTCCTGCAGGGAAAGGAGGAACATCACCAATGTGGCTGTAGCTGGTTAGGCTAACAGGTAAGGCCAGAAAGCACGTCCCATGCTACTGAGAAATGGCAAAACCTTTTATCTCTAGTCCTCCCCACAATGCAAATATAATGTGCTTTCCAAATCAAGGAACTGAGTTATGCTGTTTCCAAAACTCAGGTTCGTAACAAGTTTCAGATGGGCAGGGCACTTCCTTGTGCTTTGTGGCCATAACATTTGTGCCTCAGCCCTTCTCATGCAGACAACTGTACATCTCAATGCAGCAAAAAATGTGGTTATTCAGCACAACTGAGAAGATTTCCTGTGCCCCAAATAACCCATGCACTTCTGTGCTGCTTGCTTTAAAGTAACAAAAATATCTGCCAACTTCTGTTGCATTAGACCAACAATTTCAGTATGTTTTCATCAAATGATGCACAGACTTGAGATAAAATAGTGTTTGCATATGAGTTTTTTCTGGTATGTCTCAATTTAAGGATTTAGTGAGTCACCTGATAGAGCTGTCCTCATTGATCCTGTGGGGAAATAACTCTGTCTGGTCTTTCCACTGAGTTTGATATCTCTTCAGTCTTTTCCTTGTTGCCTGGGGTTGATTCATTTGTTTAAGAGTTTTACGCTAAATAACACTTTGATGCTTTGCAAAAAAAATAAATTAATAAATCCAGTCTTAGGGCATTATACTGAATGCATAGCCTGGTATAACGTGAGCAGAATGAGAAGCACATATGTTCTTCACTTTCCCAGCTGGATTAGGTTTCAGGAAGTATGAAAGTTGTGTTGTGGATTTCTGCTTCTCTCACAGCTGAACTGAATGCAGACTTTGAAGTCGCAAAATAATCTCAAAAATTCAAGGTCAATATATTTAGAATGCTGTGGTGTGACACTCTCTGTAGCTACAGTCTGGGTAATACAAAAAGGAGGGTTTGATATTAAGTCAGTAGCCTTGTAGCTACAGCTGATACAGTAAATCCAGATTTTGTAGTTCAGAAGGAGGAGCTTATCATGGGACCATAGTTTAAATGGTTACTCATTATATTTCCCTTTTACAGCACCCTGAGGTTTTTACTTAATGCATTTATTTAACACAAACCAAAATACAAGTATCCTTGACAACTAATAGTTTAAAAATAATCTGACTTTTTTTTTTATAAGAAGAGCTTTAAAAGCAGTTTCCTGACCAAACTGAGTCCTGAGTTGATCCACATCACCGTATTTTATGAAGAATTACACTTCACATAGCCACATTTTCTAGAGAGCTTCTAGCCTTCCACACTGAGAGCCTGTGTTCTGTCCTCCTAGCACTGGTAAGTTAATAACAAAACTGTATTTGTCCAAGCAAGTTAATCAGACATGGGATGTCTCTCTATTTTAACCACCAAATATAGTGAAATTGTGCCTCACACCATTTGTTTAGGTTTTCTCCCCAGCATGTAGGTTGGTTCATGCTCCATATGAAGCAAGTAGAATGTGCAAGAATGATACTGCATTTTTCAGAGGCAAGAGGGCATGAGAAGGAGAAGGTGATGCCACCCAGATTCCTGCAAACACCTTCTGGGCAGCACGTGGAATCTAGCCCTGAATGCCCAGCTGCACATATGACTGAACTGCATATTCAGAAAATGAACTGCTAAAAAATGAGGGTATCCCCAGATGTGGTGTGCACATTTCCAGAGCTTTGTTGAAAGATCTGGTTCTTCAGCACATTTCCCTTCACACAAACAAGCTATGATTTGCCAAAGTCTAAGTAATAAAAGTTACAAAAAATGTCAGGATGCCAAAAAAACAAAAACAAAACTCAATTACATGTATATCCAAAATGGACCAGCTGATAAGAAAGGGTTACATGGGTCTGAACTCAGGAAGACCTTCAAATCCTTTTCCATCAGCCAGGACTGCATGGAATGCAGTGCTTGCCAGTGCGTGGTACATTGGGTACAGTGCTAATATTTTCTTACCTCAGGGAATTTCTTCCTTTGCAAGTATTCTGTCATTGCAGGATCAAAATACTTGGCATAACCTTCATTGAGACTGTATACCTTCCCCTTCTTCTTGATTTTAACATCTCTGTCCACCAAAATAAATTCACCAAGTCCCTGCAGGACAGGATAAATGAGATATTAGCAGGCAGCAGAAAATTTTGTTGACTTTCTGTAACAGTTGTCACACTAGACATGGCAGAAGTGCTAGCACAGCTTGATCCTTTCAGCACCAGCCTAGTGTATAAACTCACAATATTTCAAAGAGAGCAGAAAACAGAGAATTTGCATTAAATTAATGAAAACTTGTCACAATTGGTACTATAAACAAAACCTAATTGGAACAGAGTATCAAAAGAGCACCAATCAGCCCTGAAAGATGGATCATGAATCTCTGTCCTCAAATCATAAGGCTGCAAATTAAGAAATGACACTGCCTTCTGATTTTTGAACTCCTCTTGCCTGTCTTGTCTAAATATCTTAAAGTGAATGTGGTCAGCTACACCCATGTGTTATTGTCTGCAGTTTGATTTCAACTTTCACTGTCTCAACCAGAGCTGTTAATCTCTCAGTTCTTTCCACTTGGAACAAGACTATTTACAAAGGTTACAAGAAGTTTTGGTAATAATTCATCTTTTTATTAAAAAAAAAAAAAAGAGAAAAAAACCATAAAAAACAACACCATGTTATTTCCCACATCTAATTCTGGTTTTACAAATGAATGATCTTCCAGCATTCCCACAGTAACACCTCTTGTGTTCCTGGGCACTGAGGAGTGGCATAGTTCAATTGTATAGGCGGTGTTGTTCTTTTGCAGATTTTTGGGTGTGCATCTTAGGTGACAGCCATAAAACTCTACTGCTCTTGGGAAATGAAACATCGCTTGGCTCGAGCTATCAAAAAAATGGTCCTTGCCTCAGGCTAAACAGTGAACATTCTGAAGTTCTTATTCAGACAGGAAAATCAAGAATAAAACAAACACAGATTCCTTTAAGTGAACACAAAGACATTGTACAAATTAAATTTTCTTAAGTGTTGGTTTGAATGAAGAGGGTTTCAAACACTTAATTGAGAATTTATCTTAATTTCACTTCTGTTGAGTAGGCAAAAACCAAGCAGGTATTGCAACCAACGTGCTCATATATTATTAAATACTTTAATACCTGGGATGCTCCAGGACATGAAAATAAAAATTGCACAAAGTGGATAGATTACAGAGACAAGGGCAAATAAAACGAAGCACAGAAGGCTCTAATGGACAGTGGCAATGTGATTAACACCATGACCGTACCGGATCGAGCATGAAGCAGTCCACTCCTTGCCCTGTGGAGAGGGCAACCAGCGTAGCACTACCATACAGGGCATAGCCTGCAGCAACAATATTGCGTCCAGGCTGCAAAGCATCTTTTTCAGAGGGCTCGTCATCTGTTTCCTGAGGAAAAATTACCATTGAACCAAAGGTTAAATTCTGATAATGAACAATAAAAACAACATTTCAATAATAATGCGCAACAGATTTCCTTTTTCTGTCTATGCAGGCCTTTGAAACAACAAAAACAGAGACTGTCCCCTGCCTCATTCAGGGCAAGTTTGGTACAGGTACATGTACATGCTGGGACAGGATGTTGAGAGTTTGTTATTTTATACATGTCAAGCAATCAATATGATACATGCCACAAAGCTGATCCCTTAGCATTATGGCCCCAGCTGTTAATTGAGGATAATCAGAAATCTGAGACAGAGCAGAGATACTAATTTTCTGTAAATGTAACATAACACCCCTCAGAGGGAATAACTGAAAGATAAATGCTGTAATTAACTTTACAGGAAAAATACTTCCACAGTACAGAATAAAAGGGTATGTGGAGCAACATGATGGAACCAAGTTTGTGCATTAGTCTCTGCTAGTGAAGGGATGTGTAACTGAACTGATACACATGTTCATCTGTTACACAGAAATGTTCATCATATTATATACAAAATAACGAAGGCATGTGATTATGTAAAGTGTGCATGTAGGCAGGAAAGTGTGCAGCTACTCATCTATAATTCTACATAGAACATTCAGGTGGCATTTTATTTCATGCTTTTAATCGATTTATGACACTCGTATTTTGATTAGGCACTTTGGTTATCATGGAGCAACAGTAGCCCCAGCAGACATGGAGCAAATATTTCCAGCCAGCTCTAGAGGTGTACCTCAGCCATGGCTTACAAGAGTTTGTCTGCTGGGGGAGGTAAGGAGGACAGCCAACAGTACTTGGGAAGGCTGGTTCCAGGCTTCATCTCCCACTGCTGCAAAATGGGTGGGGATTGCTTGGTATCAATATTTACTTAAAAGTTCATCAGTGGGTCTTGCATGGATGTTTTGGTGGTGGTCCATGGGGAACTGAAATGAAACACCCCCCCTTTCTTCAGGCCATTGCTTAGTATTTTATTGTTCCAAACTCAGACAGTTTCTCAGCGATTGCACAGGCTTATTTAGATTGAATATCAGCTAAATAGAAACAGCAGGCCTAGCCATGAATATCTGGTTAAAAAAAAAATAAATTAAATCCATGAAGACTGTCTTGCGTAGAAAATAAATTATTTGCCCATCATGGTCCTAGCAAGGTGTTCCCACTCCTCATTTTATGCCAACACCCCAAGGAAAACTGAGATGTGGGACACCAAAACAACACTTTTCTTGGTACATGAAGACAGTTATTTCATATCAAAATGTTTTCATTTTCAACTGAAAGGCTTTGTTACTTAAGTTACTTCACTTACAGTTTTTAACTGCATTTTGATCAAATTTTTTATCACTACTTTGCCAAGTCATTCTGTGGAAATAAAAAAAAAAATCCAGTTGACATCCAGGCCTTCATGGGAGCTGAAATATAGCATGTACAAATATATGTGGTACTCAGTCCCTTCAAACTATGTGAAGCTGCTTATTCTGAGAGGTTATAATGCAGATAATGAAGGAAGACTAGTTTAAACTTTTGTTTGCATGTGTCAGAGCTTTGAATATTGACTATTACTAGCTAATACTTTGTGAAACAGTCCTTACAGTACCAACTATTATGGTCTAGGTAGCATCATCTCATTCAAAAATATTCCCCTATGGCACATACATCTCACCACTAAAAGCAATGGTTGTCCATAGCAGACAAATTATTTGCAGCGTCAAATGCAGAATTAAACATTCATTTAGACAGTTTCAATCATATTAAGGTTGTCATAGCTTTTTGTATGCTCTTATTAAAGAAAAGATAATTTTGTATAAATATAGCAAAGTGCTTTGTTTTCTACAATCTGGTATATATACATGTAACTTCGGGTTATATATGATATTGTTTTAAAATACATTCTTTTTTCTGAGATGAGCTTTTCAGTCCTATTTCTTAAATGCATCTTCGATGTTAATATGGCTGAGAAACGATATATTTGTTGACTACTCAGAAAAAAACAGAGTAATACCTCCCTCAAGGTATTTGCCCAACTTGCCAAGGCAGTTGGGCTGAATTAACTTTTTTTTTCATCCTTTTTCACAACAGTGTTTCCAAGAGCTAGCTTCCAGAAAGGAGAAAAGGTTTGGAACAAACATTTTGCAGAGCTAGTTAGAATGTGAAAAAGCTACAGATCAGCTGATACTTCAATGTTAGGACTGCAGGAGTTTTGTCCTGCCAAGTACTGTGTACTGTTAAACAAACCAGGGAATTAAACTGGACAGTACACTGTGATAATTGCTATTTTCTCTTCTTTCTGGTGCACAGATGGATTTCCTGTCCATTATATTTTGACTGTGATGGTGGTAGGGAAATACCTTTAGAGGTCTTTATGCAAAGCAATAAAGTAGACAGATGGACTGCAAATAATGAGATACAGTGACTCTGACATTATAACTCATAATTAGTGTGAGGCTGATGAAACAAAGGCTGCAGAGTTTGGCCATAGGGACACCCTCAGGTGATACCTGAGTTTGAAATTTTTTGTGTTTGTGATTTGCCTGACATCACATGAGGAAACTCTCATCAGCACTGGGATTGGCACTAAAATGACTAGATTTCCAGGTCTCCACTTGTGTCATGAATTTCATGAGTAGCCTTTGTGTTTATACTGAATTCTTACACCTTTTCTGTGAGGGACCACATGAAGGGAAGAACATTGTCCCCGTGACAGTGAAGGGTAGCAAATAAAATACATCAGAGGCATTGGGCAAAGTGACAAATTAAAACCACAGTGAAACAGAGTGAGAGTTTCATAACATATTTGTGCAGTATGAATTAAGGATTGTAGAGTCAGCTCAGTGGCATGAAAACCTGGGAAGAACCCAAGCAAAAGGCATTTATTGTCACCACATCCTGACACTTCGGCAACTGAGCGCCCCTCCAGTAGCAGCAGCTGTCATGGTCCAATCCCCTGCTGATTCTGCAAGGCTCCTCCCTCAGCCCCACTTTTCTGGTGTTTCTGATTTTCAGCAGCACCACCCTGATCTCAGAAAACAAAGGCCAGGTGGAAAATTAAATAAAGCTGAGATAGTATTTATTTCCTCATGGGTTTTTCTAAGAAACTGATAGAGCGCTCTTCTGCCATGAGGAAATGGTCCCTCCCACTGTGGTGGAGGGTGAGGATTGGGAGCAATCAGTCTTCAGGATTGAAATGCATTGTCCAAGTCTGGCCTTTTTGTAAGAGTGCTTATTATCTGTTTTGGGGTTCTTTTTCCTAAAATGAGCCAAATGTTTCCACTTTGGAGAGTGTGCCTTTGGAAATGAAGTTGAGACATGGTAGAAAATCAGTCAAAAGCTCATCTCTGAGCTGAAGAACTGGTAGGTGCTAAGGTTCACCCTTTGGAATCACACAATGGGTCTACCTTTTCAAAAATGTTATTCATTAACCTTTAATGGCCTAAAATTATGTTCTCTTTCTTAAGTGACACTTATCTACTGGAATAAACATTTCACTTTTATTCTTTCCCACTACCCTTTAGTAACAATCAATAAAGCACTTCTTAATAATTTAAAGGGAAAATGCAGCTATTGTCTACTGGGAGCTGCTGTTGTCATTTAGGGTATTTTTGGAGAGATAGCTCTAAAGAGTGGAGGCCCCTCTGCTTAACATTAGAGCACATTTCATAGATTTCATCAACACAGAAAAAGCATTTATCTGCAAAAAGCAAGATACTGCATGGTACTGGAGGTAGTCCCAGGAATGTCCTTTCCAGAATCATACCCAGGCACCATCTCAGTGTTGTCTGGCCTGCACGGCATCTGTGCTGTGAGTTTGCACTAACCATGAACAGCCAAATTTCAGGACTTGGCATGAGCCACAACCCTCTTGAGAATTGTGCCATAACTATTTGATTCACTAGAAGATGCACGTTCTCAGCAGTGATGCCTATAGTATTACCTACAGGAAATGTAAAAATCAAGGACTAACCAGCTGAAAAATACGAGGTAGAGTGAGGGACTTAAAGACCGTATCTTCATTTGCTTTACCATCTGAGTCTGCAAAGACTTCTTTGAAGTCACAAGTACTGCAAACTGTTATTTCACAATAGCAATGGCTGAGGGTCTCCCACAGTCATATGACCATGAGCTCAGCCTTTGGAAAAAACACCAACTGCTGGGAGATTAGCAAACAAATCACAAGACTTGGCATGACTGTAACTATTCGTGTTAGTAATTGGCTGCGTAGCTGCTGCTCTGTGCAGCCCCATGGGAGCAGACATGCCACCAGGACCCCGACGAATGCAGCTTCCTTCAGCCTTCATCGCTTCCATGCCTATGACCTCCCATCCATGGCAGGCACAGCGGCTGGCACTGGGAGGCCTCCACGCTGCTGGCCACGGCCCAGGGCTGCCAGCCCCCCACAGTGGGTGTCCAGGACAAATCCTGCAACTTGCCGGCACCTAACACTGAGCCAAGCACCACTGAAGGAGCTAACCAGCGGCCTTGGGGGTGAGATCACTGTGCTTAGCGTGTGGACACGTTGCCTTTGCGTGTGGAGGAAGGATGTGCTGCCACCTAACAATTTCATGGGGTTGGGTGTCCCCGTCCTGTGAATTCAGGTAGCATCTTAGCACACAAGAATATCAAGCTCTCATCTACTCTTTCTAAGGCTCCCTTTTGCCCAGAGACACCTAATGGACCGTGGAAAGAAGCTAGGCAAGGTGATGAACTCAAGACATTTTGCTTTCAGCAAGTGAATTGCGCCATGTGTAATTTACTCCTCTTACCTTTTTGTAGATGGCAAATATTGTTCCTATTGGTGCCAAGCAGTCTATATTGGATGAACCGTCAAGGGGGTCAAAGCACACCACGTATTTACCCTAAAACAGAAGTGGCAAGGGAACCATTTTTAATGACATGTTGTTTCGCATCATTATTTCCTTTTACTTGAAATCTCCCATGTTTTTCTATCTGCATTTAGCCCTCCAAGCGTGCCTGATAGAGCTCGTCAGAGAAGGCTGCACTGCTGACCCAGCTGGCCCGCAGCACAACACCGACTCCCCAAGGGGCTGCCAGAGAAATTGGAGAGGACACTTTTCTGCTCAGACAGCACAAATAGACCATAGAGAGGAGCAGTCCTCTGCTGCCAAGCAGGGCAAGAAATCGTTTAAAAGCAAAAGGAGTGATTCATTCTGGAAGCAAGTATCTTCCTCGAATGAATATGTTTTGTCTTGCTACTTTTTGCTGTGAATGAAAGGACTTCGCTGTGTGGTGAGGTTTGAGGGGTTTAAGAAGGCAGAAAGAAAAAAACATCTTCGGGAAAGGGCAGGTTACATCAGGGTGAACAGTAACTCCCTGTAATACGATCCCCTCCTGGGGGAAGCCTGATGGAGCAGTCAGGTGTTTCCTTTGGACATGTAACATAAAACCGAGTTCTGCTAGCCTCTCATCTCACTTTATCTTGCTAAATACTAACGTAATCCAAAACCATCGCACCCGTGGTCAGGGAATGTAACAGTACACTTACACCTGCGATTTGGGATGTGTTAACAAGCTTAAAAATAATTATTCTCCCTCCTTCACAAAACTTTAATAATACTTTTACTGTCCACATCTCTTCTTTCTGTTGAAATCATGCCACCCACTACAGTTATTAATCAAAACAACACAGAAATGGTGCAAATTTTCTGAATTCCCCCGGGGAAGGGCTGGGTTTGGGGGCCAGATTTCCTACTTGAAGCAAGAGTGCCACCTGCTGCTGCCTGAGCCAACAACCCCCCTGAACGCCGGAGCTGCACAGACCCGCTTGTCTTTCGGGGTGATGATGGCCTCTTTGTTCTCCTCTGTGACTAGGACGCAGGTGCTGTAGGAGGACTGGAGCATGTTAATCACCAGGGAGTTGGATAAAACATCCAGCTTCTTCACCTCATCACCCGTCACATTCACAGTGCCAGCTATACCAAACCTACAGAGCAGTAAAAATGGCAAGAAACCTGAAGGAGGCCAACATAACAGGTTTTTAGGAAAAAAAGACCAACAAGTCAAGGTTGTTTATTCCTTTTATCTTCCTACACTTTTAGATAATCTTTGGATGAAAGAGCTTATAAGGTGCATTATGAGACTCTTGCTGCTAGAAAACAAAAGCATGCGTTTTGAGGCCTTACTTGGGTCCTTTTGCTCCTGTGTGGATGTTCTCCAGGCCAGATGCAGAGCCTACAGCCCAGGTGGTAAGTGCCAGTCTTCCCCAGCAGCCCATGAGGCACCTGGCTGCAGTTTTGAGGAAGCAGAAAGTGCAGCAAACATCTGCAATATCTTCTGCCGCTGGCTGCTCAGAGCTCCACAATGGCCATTTAACCCACATTCACTCAGTCCCCTGCCACCCCAAATCACTTTAAAGGCATCCCCGGGAAATTTGCCATATGGAACTGTATCTCAGGGTCAAGGTCTGTCTGATTCAGTGATCCTCAGCTGAGCTAGAATTATGTTTCTTTTCCCTATCCTAGTTTTAGCAATATGCTAATGACACACTACAGTAGTATATATGTTTCTGAGACTTCCAGGTGAAGAAGTACTGTTTAGACTCAATGTGCATGTTCTGGGAAACCTACGAATACAAAAACCATACAGTGAAAAGATAGAGCTTTTTTATTCACTAAGGGAAATTAAAAGGAGGGCATGGGGGGCACAGAGGCAAGTGAGGGAAAGAAAAGGAAAAAGAAACAATAATTAGTCCCTAGAATGAAGTTGGCCAGTGGCAGGCCTGAGCTGGGAGTAAAGTAGGTATTTTTACTCAAAGCTCAAAGATGCCTGTCTTTGCTTTTCATAAGTACTGAGTGTTTGGGACATTTTATTGTTGGGTGTCAAGTTTAAGATTTTTAAAAAGGACCATGATTTTCATTGGTAAAGTACCTACTCTCCAGCCAATGTGTTCTCAGTCACAATCACAGCTTAGGCCTATGACTTGGAAAAAGTTCTCCTTCACTTTTGAATTGAAAATTTTTCAAAAATTCTAGCTAAGTGCTTTAACATTAAAGAAGAAACGTATAGTCTCCTATTTGGAGGGTCAAGAAAAGTCAGTGCTCATTAACTGCACAAATGCAGATGGATGCAAGCCACTTTCACAGTGGTTGATAGTTTGCCATAGAAATTCCTGAAATTTCATGGCTAGTTTCACTAATTTGAATGGTGCAAGTTACTCATTTGTATGTTTGGATACTTTAGATATTTCTGAGTCAACATCTGAAGCTTTTTGTTTGTAAAAAGAAATATTTGCTCCTTAATGTAATGGATGGTTTGGGGTTTTTTTTAAAGGTGAAGAATGATTATTATAATTAGATGTTATTCTACCTGTAGCATATCAAATTGTTTTTCTGCTGTTACAAATGATTTCAGAGATAGCCTCTATAAAGATGAAAATTATGTAAAAGCAGCTGTTCCTTTAAGCCAAGGAGGCAAAATAGCTCAATTTCACCTAGTAAGGACAGAGACAAAGTACAGTTTAAGAATAAGGGCATAGGAGCCCGATACTGTGGTTCACTTTGAGTATGTTTCATGTCCTCTCTAAGCACTATGGTCCTATAAAGTGAGGGTAATAGTTCGGAGACATTGAATTCATGATTTGCTACAATGATTGAGGACTTGGACCAAATAATCAACAAAAGT